CAGGATTTGACTGATTCCATGTTAGTCATTTTTTTTTTACCTCTGAGGATCCGGTGCAGTTTTAACGATGGATATTTATATATGATGATGTTGGGCTGGTTTCTCTTCTCTGCTACAACAAAGTAGTGTTTGCTAGGGTGAACCTTCATATCACACACACACACACACACACAGTTTTTAAGCAAGACAACCTCAAAGCTCTTCTGAAGTAAATGTAAAGTTTTCTGTCGGACTGGAGCATCAGTCAGACACATTCAGTTTGTCAGCCATCTTACCGTGATGCAGCCGATTCCTCCTCCGCTGCAGGAGCGCAGGTATCTCTGCTCCTTGGTGGAAACGTCGAGCAGGACGAGCTGGTTCCCTGCGATGAACATCAGAGTTTTGTCATCCAGCAGCTGCAGGTTCGCCCTGCGTCCGCTCTCATAGCCGAAGGAGTGACTGAATTTTTTAATCAGTAAAGGATCAAGATCACATTCACTGTTTGTTGTTTGTTCTGGCAGGATTAAGTAAAAGCTACTGAACACATTTCCACAGAACTTTGTGGGAGGACGGGACATGGGTCTAGACAGAACACTTTCTGAGATAGGATGATTTTTCAAGATAAATAACTCATGGATCTTGAGAGGAAAGATGAGACATCTTTAGAGGACTGATTCTGTAAGTTGGTATCATTTCTTGCAGAAGGATACGAGAGGCGCAGCGGGTTCTCTGGGATGTCAGAGTCCGGTGTGATGGAAGATCCGCCGGGGTCCATTGCAGAAATCTAGGATTAAGACAACCGGGATAAATGACTGAGCTGCGTCTCGAACAATCAGCTGCTCTTGTTCTTATTATTTTATCTGTAAAGCAAACAGAGAAATGTGCAGCTCCACCGTTAACAGTGAAACACAGATCAGCTGATCATTGACTATAACTACAACAAGATATTCAATGTCTCCTCACATATTCAACCATAACTGACAATAACTCGTAAATTCATGTGTCCCTGCTGCTCCCTTCTTCTCTATCCCACATGTTTCTGTGTATAAATACTTTATATATAAATATTTATGATGTTAAAAACTGTTTCTTCTCATCAATGCAGTAAATTAATTAATTTAAAAGGATTTTCCACGACACATTTTTCTATATTTACCTCTTTGGCCTGTTTTTCTCTCCGCTCGTGAGTTTCAGTTTGGAGGCGTTGCTAGGCAACAAGTTACGTGCCGCAAAGCCTGCCGGTCAATGTAGTTCACGAGCCACTCGTTCGTAATCGTCGCAATCGTCTGTAACTTGGGATGAAACAGAAAGTTTCGCAACACAACCGACACACGTGCAGAGTTACTGATGACGAACTCAAACACATCGGTGTTACCATGGTAACGAGAGGTTTACGGGGCTGCTGTCCCTTTAAATGCGACATGTAAACAAACATGGCCGCCGCGTGTCGCTGCCGAACGTTAATATCACCGACAGACAGTGGATCGCGCTGCCGTCGGTCACTGTCGGATTAGAAATGTTGAAATCTACCGACGCGTCGACGCCAAACGTTCGAATCCCGCCGCTTTTCACCCGTGAAGCAACTGTCGCGACTCCGATCGCTTTACGGCAGCTGAAACGGAACGCGATTGGACGATTCGTGCCGTAAATCGTGACGGTGGCAGAACGCATGGGGATATCGCGGTGGCGGCGCGTGTGAGCTTCTGAAACGTGAGTTACAGCTTCAGACACGATTTAAAAACTCGATTCGTGTTCGTGTTAACGTCACGAACGAAAGGTTTTATAACGCGTGTTGACTTCCGGTGTGCGAGCCGCCGAAGGACGGGTTCGGGTTCAAATCATGAATAAACCCGAACCATCACTGAAGCTGCTTCGTTGACGTGTTCCTGCTTCGTTATCTGAGGTTTCTGCTCCACAGACTCTCCATCTTCATATTTCTGTGTTCACAGTGTTCACAGCTCTTCACTGTCTCGTCGTCACACCAGCAGAGATATTCATGAAGTGACTATTTGCTCCTGTAAGAAACTCGTGGAAGTGAAACTGCCTCTGTCCAGTTAAGCAATAGAGACATTTATTATTTCTGCATCACACCATTTGTTCTTTACATTTACAAAACGTGGAAAAGGGGGAAAAGACATGACACACACACACACAACAGACAGATCTATTAAATGTCTTCTGTCTCCTCTCAGGTTTTCTCTGGAGCTAATTAAAAATGTCCATGCGCTCAACTCATCAACATTTACAATAACAGAAAAGGAAACTTCCTTCCCACATCATTTACACAGAAAACAGTTTGGATTAGAAGTCACGACTCCACCATGTTGTATTTCTGTGAACACAGTCAACCATCAACAGAGTAGAGCACCGGTGACGCTGTACAGAATTAGTGATGTGAAGTATCGACGTCTCAGCAAAGAGTCCAAACACCGAACGTCCTCTAGGTTCTGACGATGCAACTTAAAGCCTGTTTGTCTTTCTGCTGTTTTCCTCGTTGTGCTTTAGGATGGAGGCCAAATCCCAGAAACCCTTTTCTCCTAAAGGAGGAAAGAAGTTTACTCAGAAAGGAAAAGGTAAAAAAAAAAAAAAAATCACGTTTCACATCAACCGGACATGTAGGCATTTCTGACCAGTCTTGTCACTCACATGTCTCATTCTGTCCAGACTCCATAGGGACTAAACTGGGAGGAAAGCCGGGCGGTAAACTGGGCGGTAAACCTGGAGGTAAACTGGGCGGTAAACCTGGAGGTAAACCAGGTGGTAAGAAACCCTTTAAACCATACAACAACGCGGAGAAGAAGAGCAGGCCGGGGCAGGGAAGATATGACGGCAAAAAAGAACAGAAATTTGGTTTCTCCAAAGCCGGGATGGGACAGAAGAAGAGGAAACTACACCCAGCTAAAGATGAAGAGGGTGAAGGTGAGAAACTTCTTTGTGTTTGAGAATTTAGCATCTGAACTTTACCTTGATTTTCCCCCGCTGCCTGGTTCTGAATCCTTTCTTGATAATTGAGTGTGACTTGTGAAAACAGGTCCGGGGGCAAAGAGGGTCAAGAAGGGAGAGTTTCAGCCTAAGAAAGAGATGACGAAGGAGGAGATGAAGAAAAACAGGCAGCAGAGGAAGAAGGACCTGAAGAAGAACAGACAGCAGGCGGAGAGGAAGGACATGTTCGAGATCATCTGTCACTCCAAACAAGTGTGGGGAAACCTCAGGAGGTGCATACGTGTTTACTTTCTGAAACATTTCAGTTCAGGTTGAATATGTGTCGTGAAAATATTCCTGTTGTTCAGACTCGTAAAACAAATAAAAAGGTTCAGGGATGACACTGAACCTTACCTTCAATAAGCACATTCCCAGTAGGTTTCTGTGTTATAGTTAAATCATGATAATAATCACAACGTGTGTGTGTGTGTGTGTGTGTCAACAGGAAGAATTGTGACGAGGACTTGAAGAAGAAACTTATGAAGGAGCTTCATGATCTGATCCGTGGGAAAATCAAACAGGTGAGTGTCACTCTGTTGTTTCATTAGTTTACTGTCGACTTGTTACTGTGTTGAGAGTTTTTGTGGGAACAAGTGCACGTTGTCGACATCTTTGTTGTGACCTGATGCTGCTGCTCTTGTGTTTTCTCTGAACTGAAATCTTGCACATTGTCATCTCTGCCTCTAGATGGCGTTTGCTCACGACTCGGTGCGCGTGCTGCAGTGCTTCATCCAGTTCGGGAGCCACGAGCAGAGAAAGGAAGTGTTTGAAGAACTCAAAGGTTCGTTAAAAAGGCATGTGATGGGCGGAGCATCCGGATCTGATCGGTGGTCCAGCTCCTGGTTTTACATTTTCTGACGCGACAAACATGAACTGTTTTCATTTGTTCTTTCCAGATGATGTCATTGGTTTGTGTAAATCTCAGTACGGCCGACACGTGGTGAAAAAACTGCTGATGTACGGGTGAGTCCTCACATTCTCTTCTTCTCTATGAACAAGTTCTTCTGTTGTTCCGTCCACTTCCGAACAACCACCGACAACCCGCTCACTACGGTGTCGTTCATTCACGGTTCCTAACAAGCTGCGTGGACTCGGTTCTCCTTCCTGTCCGCGGACGCGTGTGTAAGATTCTCGTTGTGGATTTGTTTCCTCCACAGGAACAAGGAGCTGTTGGCGGCCGTGATGCAAACGTTTAAAGGTCACGTGCGCACGATGCTGCGCCATTCCGCCGCCTCGTCCATCATCGAGTACGCCTACAACGACAAAGCTGTGCTCGCACAGAGACTCATGCTCACAGAGGAGCTGTACGGCAACACCTTCACTGTCTGCAAGGTACACACACACACACACACACACACACACA